CCCCCCCCCCCCCCCCCCCCCCCCCCCCCCCCCCCCCGGGGGTGTGCTTCTTTTCCCACTCATATCCTGTCCTTGCCAACCCCGTTCCGAATCCAGGAGGCTGTGGAGGTTCCAGAACTTGGAGAGGGGAACCAAGGCATGGGGAAATCACTCTAGGTGGTTTCCAAACATTGGACTACAGAACTTTAATTTCCTCCTGCTGCCCTCTGCAGCTGGGTCCGCCAGCTTTCCGACCTGCCCAGACATCTACAGACCAGCCCTTCACATCCTTGGCATGCCATGGGCACTGCTTGGATTACACCTGAAATGACAGTCATCATCACTGAACATTCAGTTCCCCACCTGTCAGGCCCCAAGCATGACGTATCCATAAGCACATTTGAACCTTCTGGTCTCTTAAGGAGATAGATGTAACTTTCCCAAGTTAAACACGAGACTCCAATCCGTTCTTTCCACCCCAAACTTGAGAGGCTCCTAACTACTAACTATATCTGCTTGTCCAAATTCTGCCTCATCATTTATTCACTCAACAAAGGGTACTGAGCACCGTCTTGGTGCCAGGTACTCAAGACTGAGTCCCACTTCTGGTGGGATGAGTGTCCATGGTCATTTCTAACCCAGCAAAACCCCACACTCTCCACTTCTTTGTGTTTTAAGTTTTTATTTATTTTGAGAGAGCGAGAGAGAGAGAGAGAGAGAGAGAGCATGAGCAGGGTAGGGGGAGAGACAGAGAGAGAGGGGAGAGAGAGAATCCCAAGCAGGCTCTGCACTGTCAGCGCAGAGCCCAGTGTGGGGCTCAAACTCACAAACTGAGATCGTGACCTGAGCCGAAATCAAGAGACATACGCTTAACCAACCGAGCCACCCAGGCACCCCTCTCCCCCACCTTATTTCCAATTAGAAGTGAGGGGGCTCAGCATCATTGAGTCCCAGGGCCCACAGCTAATGCGAGCCAGGATCCAAAACCAGAGACGGCAGAGGGTGGGCGGGAGCAGCCACTGCTAACTTATGCAGGATCAAAAAGGCCTGTATTGGGGCGCCTGGGTGGCGCAGTCGGTTAAGCGTCCGACTTCAGCCAGGTCACGATCTCACGGTCCGTGAGTTCGAGCCCCGTGTCGGGCTCTGGGCTGATGGCTCAGAGCCTGGAGCCTGCTTCCGATTCTGTGTCTCCCTCTCTCTCTGCCCCTCCCCCGTTCATGCTCTGTCTCTCTCTGTCCCAAAAAAAAAAATATAAAAAAAAAAATTAAAAAAAAAAAAAAAAAAGGCCTGTATTGTCACTTCAACCCCCTGGGCAGAACCCCCCAGGTTCCCCCTGTGGTGTGGAACCCTATCACCGGAGAATTACCTGCTGCTCAGCTCTTCCCAGTCAGTCTGTCCTTGTAAATCACCACAGTCACCTGGCAGAATGTGCAACAGGTGGGCACTAATTGTCCTGCAATCAGGCACCAACTTCTTCCTACCTCGCCCTTCCGCTTAATGAGAGCCAGGTGGGATGGAAGCACACGTTCCTAAGCTTTCTAGAGCTATCAGATTAGGATAGCTCAGATGTTTAAACTGAAAAACAGAGCCCCAAGAGTATAATAAAATCAATCACGGGTAAATGTGAAGGAATTTGGGGGCTGGCAAACGGGCCATCTCAGTTCCCAGGGAAGACAGTGGTGTCCCAAAGCCAGCGTGCTGGGGTCTGTGGTGGCTGACCCTTCCTGGTGCTGTCACCCCCGATGCTTGTGGTGTGGCCATCAGGCCCGTGGGGTACAAGGTAGGCTTGTGATTTTACTGGTGGGCTTGGGAGGTAGACAGTATGCCCTGCGGTCCGGGTGAGGGTCTCTCTGAAGGTGAATCATGCAGGCACACAGCGGGAAGGTGTTGGCTGGGACACGGGCCCTACAGGTGGAGTCTGCGCAAAGATGGGGTGGCCTGCGGCGTCAGGAGGGTGGGCCGTTTGGAATCCGAGGGGCCTGTGCGGGGACTGGGTGACCAGCCAGGCCTGTACGTGGGATACAGTGGGCAGGGTGGGGGGGTCGATCACCACTGCCCTGTGAGTCAGCCACAAACAACCTGGGTGCAGGGCTGGGCGGCCACAAGAAGTTAAGACCAGGCGCTTTGTTAAGACCAGATGGCTGCAGGGTGGCCAGAAATAAGGTAGTGGCTGGCCCTGGAAGGGAAGGAAACAGGCCGGTGCTGGGCGGGGCCGCCAAGGATTGTGTGGGGGGTTGGGAATTTCTAGCCAGGAAAGCCCTGCCCTCGAGGTGTTCCTGGATTGGAAGGCTGACAACGCTCTGTTGTGTATTGCTTCTTGGGCCTGTCGTCCTCCTGTAACCTTTGCTACAGTTCTTCGATGTTCTAATCTAGCATGGCTGTGTGTGGCGAAGGGGGAGGGGGAACTCAGGGCACAGCTGAGGGCTCACTGAAAACCCCAGGAGACCGGGAACCACAGCTGACCTGGACTCCTGTGGGAACAGGGGGCGTGCTCCTGTCCACTCACAGCTGGGGGGTTTGCTTTCCGAAGAAAGTGTCAGTTCCTTACAGTACAGCTTCCTCAAAGGGATCAGAGACCACCCAGAAGCTGTGATAGGGACAGAGAGTGCTGAGCCCGCCCGAAGTACTGAATCGGGGCAGGGGTGGGGGTGGGGGGGGGGTGAGAGGGGCCCTCTGGGACTGCCTGGAAATCTGCAGCCTAAGCTCCCCCGCCATCCCGTGTTCACTACGACCCCAATCCGTGTTCACTACCGTTTGAGAACACTGCCTGAGCCCCCGTCAGCCCAACAGGCATCTACGGGCCTCACGGCAAAATTACCACGAGCAGGGCGGTGTGGATGCACAGGGGTGTGGGACACCAGGTCTCTGCCCTTTTGAGAGCTCACAGTCTAAGTGGGAAGCTGAGTGACAATACACAGCACCACCAGGCAGCAGAGGGAGAAGATTCCAGGACAGCATGCAGTGAACGGTCCACAGCAAAACACAGGAAACGTGTAAACCAAAGTCGTCCTGAGATGTGGGTTCAGGGGCTTTCATTTTCACTGTTTTGCTTAATCATCAGAACAGAGAAGGAAAGGAACCTGCCCAAGGTCACACTGCTTACGCAGCTGAACCTGAATTCACACCTAGGTCTGTCTACCTAGATCCTCTGTGAACACAGAGCTGGGAGAGACAGTTGAGGGGCTATGGGGGCTGGGAGGCGTCCTCAGTCCCCAAGGAAGGGGGATTTGGCTGGACAGGATTTCAAGAGGTAAGGTGGAGGTAATAAGCTTTGGCAGAAGTGGGGGGGTGGGTGGCAGAGACCAGAAAGAAGGGAATGAAAAGTGAGCTAAGGCAAGGGAAGTCTGTCGGTGTGCACTGGCCGACGCTGGACTTGGGAGATTCAGGAATACCCCTGCCCACAGGAGGTTTCTGGTAGAGGAGACAAGGCACTGGGCCACAGCAGTCAGATGGCCATGCAGGCGCTGTTGGGCTTGTAATAAGAGAATAAACCCGCCCGGGGCCCGGCCGTGCATATTCTGGTTATCCAAATGCCCAGGGTGACTCAAAGCTCCTGTTTTCCAAGGTCACCAGTTTTCAAACAAGTTGGAAGCAGTTGCATATACTTGTCCTAAGACTGGGCTTGGCATCATTAATGTCAATGAGAAAAAAAGCCTCGAAACCTCTGACCTCCGTGTGTGCCGTCAGCCTGGCCCCCAGGGTCACTAGAAAAGCCACCAGCGGCAGGAAGGCACACACGCATCCCTGCTTTGCCCTCGGGACAATATTGTTTTCTGTCTGTGGGTCCTTCCGTCTGTCTTTCTCCACACTGTGGGTACCGACAGGCAAATAAAGGCGACCATGAAGTCTTTGTTGGCACAAAATGCTGAGAAAACCATCACAAGCCAAGGACAGCTGCAGTGATTGCAATAAATTACCCCCACAGCAATTGATAAATTGCCACTTTCTGCAGCCATTATGTTTGGCTTTGTAATCCGAAGAGTAAATGCACCTCTTTTTCCCTTTCTCTTTCTCTTTCTCTTTCTCTTTCTCTTTCTCTTTCTCTCTCTCTCTCTCTCTCTCTCTCTTTCCCTCTCTCTCTCTCACTCACACTCTCACACACACACACACACACACACACACACACACACGGAGGCGGCCCACCCTGCATTGGATGACATTTATTCATTTTATGCATCCTGGGCTCTGCTGGCTGTCCTGCCTCAGTTCCTGTGGCAGAGACGCTGGAGTCTGAGCCACTAATTATTACCAGTGAGGTTTCCTCCCCAAACAGGAAGTATCAACCAGAACTGCTCTCTCCCAGCGCGCTCTGTAACCAAGCATCAGTCACCACTCCCGGGCCAGTCCCTGTGGCCAGGAGCTGGTGTGTAGGCTGAGGGGGGCAGCAGCACAGCTGTCCAAGCCCGGCAGGTCCCTCGCCTGTGAGGGTCAGCCTGAGCCCTGACTTCCAAGACAGAGTCAGGCTGCCCGCACACCGGAGGGGGACCAAGCAAGAAGCTGTGGCCTGGATCCCCGTGGGGCCATCAAGGGACTCATGCGTCAGACACTGGCATCAGCCAAATGTCGCATCAGCCCGTTGTTGGTAAGTCTGGTTAGGGCACAGATCCAGGGTGGCGCGGGTGGCGCGTGGGCCTCTCCCACCAGCACCACCAACCCCTGGCCCGCTTACGGGTGCCCCAGTATCTCGGGGAGTCAGAAGAACTAAAGCTTCGTGACCTCGGTTCAGGCACCGCTCATTTGCAACTGGCGGCGAAGGGCGAGTGCGGTGAGATGGATGAAGTTCTTGCCAAAAGAAAGTGGGAAATACTATCATCTGTACGTGAAGTCAGGAACGTTACTCAGAGTAAAGGGCTCGAGGGTGGATCAGACGGCGCCTTCAGTTAGTGAGAGCGGCGGCTTTGTGGACTCTGGCGGGTCAAAACAAAGATGTTCGTGTTTATGATGCAATTCCGTGGAAGGCTGGCTCAGTGGGAATCGTAAATTTTACCATTTCTGGGTTGGTTTAGCACAGAACTGCGGCTCTAAGTAATCGAACCGGATTCGTAACCATTTCTGGGTTGGTTTAGCACAGAACTGCGGCTCTAAGTAATCGAACCGGATTTTTCTAGAATAATTGTTAAAAATCTAGATGTTTGGAAAAAGCCCTATCAATTATTCATTCACTTCTACTTTGCAAAGCGGTATGGCGAGAAACCTCTTTTTCCTGTCAGCCTAAACTTGCACGTAGATATATTTGTGTGTGGATGGGCCTGTGTGTGTGTGTGTGTATGTGTGTCTGCCCAAGCTTTTTGTATTCTCTTTTGTAGGAATTCTCAGTCTTTCTTTTAAAAATATAATGATTTTTTTTATGATGTCGAAATAACGATTCCAGGCAGTAGTGCAAGAAATACAACAGTAAAATGTTTGTAAGAGTCCATCAGCAAGGAAAAATGCCCACAGAGAAAATAGAAATGTACCAATTAAGACGTGTGTGGCTCTAACCCAGCTTTTAAACCCGGATTTGAGACTGGCCTCCTCTGTCCTGTCCCCGCTGAGGTCAGCTGTGAGGGGCCTGGGGTGAGTGCCTGGACCCAGGTGGAGCCTCCTTCTTGCCTCTCAGACCCCTCAGGGAGAGGGAGACGGAGGGCCTGGGACCCGTGCTGTGGTGGTTTGGAATCCAGGATAGAGGGCAGCCCCAGATTTGCAGAAACAGCTGAGAGTGAGAGGCTGGAAAGTGTGAGTCTGGGCAGCCCAGCAGGGCAGACGGAAAGGCGGGAGGAAGGGAGCAGACCACCCCAGAGCCCCATGCAGACCAGGTGACTGGCCCAGCATGAGCTGCCCGCCCTCACCACCCAGGAGGCAGCTTGAATGCAGGGACTAGCTGGGACTCAGGCAAGAGCCAACTCTGGGACCTTAAGGAAGTCTTAACTGGACCTCAGTTTTCTCATCTGCAAAATGGAAGTGATGATAGCCTTCCGCAGGCCAGACCCCGAGGGTGCAAGTCCGCCGTCAGGATCTCTCCGCACTGTGAGTCTGGCCACACCTCCCAATGTCCGCTGTTCATTTGACGCCTGACTATTGCAAATGTGCCACGTGCCAGGCCCTTGCCAGGTGCTGGGCTGTGTCTGTCCCACTGCCCCTGTAAGGGAGGGTGGACCTCACGGCCCTGGGGAAGGCCGGAATTTCTACACGCTGTGACTTTAGGGGCAATCATGTGGAGGGAAGGGGGAACTAGAAGACTTCCTTTAAGCTGCTTCTATTTGCATAGCAAGTATTGCATAACAATACTTAGATTGTTATTTCAGATTCATAAAATGGGAAAGGTTTTACAGAAGCTGTTGTTCATTTCACCGGACTGGGAATTTCATTATGAATTATATTAGTTTTACTATCAACATTTTTTGTCATTTTTAAAATTTTTTTTTTAATTTATATCCAAATTAGTTCGCATCTAGTGCAACAATGATTTCAGGAGTAGATTCCTTAGTGCCCCTGACCCATTTAGCCCATCCCCCCTCCCACACCCCCTCCAGTAACCCTCAGTTTGTTCTCCATATTTAAGAGTCTCTTCTGTTTTTGTCCCTCTCCTTGTTTTTATATTATTTTTGTTTCCCTTCCCTTATGTTCATCTGTTCTGTCTCTTAAAGTCCTCATGTGAGTGAAGTCATATGATTTTTGTCTTTCTCTGACTGACTCATTTCACTCAGCATAATACCCTCCAGGTCCATCCACGTCTTTGCAAATGGCAAGATTTCATTCTTTTTGATTGCCGAGTAATACGCCAGTGTGTGTGTGTGTGTGTGTGTGTGTGTGTGTGTGTGTGTGTGTGTGTATACCACATCTTCTTTATCCATTCATCCACCGAGGGACATTTGGGCTCTTTCCATACTTTGGCTCTTGTCGATAGTGCTGCTATAAACATGGGGGTGTATGTACCCTTTTGAAACAATACGCCTATATCCCTTGGATAAATACCTAGTGGTGCAATTGCTGGGTCGTAGGGTAGTTCTATTTTTAGTTTTTTGAGGAACCTCCATACTGTTTTCCGGAATGGCTGCACCAGCTTGCATTCCCATCGTTTTACTATCCACATTAGCACATGGGGAGGGGTGGTCAGGGACCCCATCACCCTCTACTCCTAAGGGAAAGTACCCACCACTGTATGCTCGTCCCATCCTGGTACCTGTGCAAGAGGACCAGAGAGGGGGAATTCATTCTGTCTTGAGGAGGTGCTGTGAAGGCTTCACAGAAAAGGTAGCCTTTCTGCCAGACCTTGAATTTTGTCGTTTGGAGGGAAGGGGCTTTCCAGGCAAAAAGACTAAATCTGGGCCTCACCTGCCCCTGGACACCCCTGCCTCATGCAGACTGGGCAGACCATTCCGAATGGTTGTTCCCTGATGGGTCAGAAGCCCAGAGGCCCTGGAACCACTGACCCAGCATCCCTGAAGCCCTTTTTCGTGGGTACCCACATACCAGGCTGTTCCCCGCTCTGGCTCACATCTGGTGTTTGGTTTTCCACTTTGGCCAGAGCTGCATGAGTCTCATTGGGTTTAAACCCCTCTGTGCATAATAAGTCTTCTGTGTGATTAAGTTTATCAAAGAGTGAAATGCCTGGCCAGGTCTGACAACCTGACCAGGCTGTGGTAGGGATTAGAAATTATGGTAGTATTTAATCACCCCGGGGTATGGGAGGGCCCGCTAGGTTCTGAAAATGGCCAAGACTCTTAGATACACTCTGCCCTCAGGCACAGGAACTAGCAGTGAAGTCATTCAAGCTGCAGACATTAACTGAGCACCTAGTCGGTGCCAGTCCCCAGTCTAGGTGCTAGAGACGCCCCTATCGTAGTGGGGTGACAGTGCCAGATGCAAAGTGCGTCCCAGAGTGCAAGATCCCCTAGGATCCGGGAGGAAGCCGGGACGTTTCCCAGGGCTGCCTGGACCAGCTTTTTGAGCTCTCAGGGATTCTTGGCGAAGTCAGCTGTCTGCCTGGAGCCAGCCCATGGTGGGGGGACGGGTGGGGGACTAATTGCATGACCCGCCCCACAGAGAGCATTTGGAGAGCAGAGGCTGACTTCCAGTGCCCTTAGGAGCCCAGAGAAAGATGCTACTGGAAGTCAGGGCCTCTCAGAAGCTTCTTTGAAAAAGTGGCCCATCAGCTGGGGAAGCGTGCACCCCCAACCAAGCTCAGGAACCAGGCCAGGGAGGCAGGCTGAGCTCCTTGGCAGAAGCCCCTGGAGCTGCCCTTACCCTTATTTGTCTTGGCTGCTTCTGCCCCTTTCCCTGCCTCCACACCTCCTTCTGCCCAGTAATCAGGGGCTCTGATCTCTAATTCTGCCAACCCACACAATGGCGAGGGGAGGGGGTTGGGGCGGCCACAGACCACAAGGGACCCCTCTGGCCCCAGGGATTGCAGCTCCAGGTGTCCCTGGAAAGCAAGAAGCCACCCAACCCCAGACGCTGAGGCTTGCAGGTTCAGCAGCCGCCGCCTGATAGCCTCCAGCCTGGCTGGATTAACCAGCCCTCAGGGAGCTGGCTGCCCCCGCATGCCAGCGCCCTGACCTCCCTGGGCAGAGATAAGCCACTCCCTGGCTCCCCCAGTGCCTGGGCATGCCCTCATGAAAGCACTTTTCTCCTCACCGTAGGATGTAGCTGGCTTTTCCCCTGATTGCCCCAAGAGGCTAGACCATCTTCTGGCCTCCGACCAGAACACCTCATGGGCACGTAGTAGGTATTCAGGGAATAACAAACCATTTTGCAGACTAGGATTGGTAGGACCATTGCATCAAACTGCACAGGATGTGCACTGCACAACTGTAGAGGTTACTGTTTACGGGGATTACAACGTTGGTGATGCCCCCCGGGGGGTCGTGTAGCATGGGAACCTGAGGGCTTACCATTTTCCCTGCGTCAAGACCCTGGCCTTGGTGCTGACCGTGGGGACTTCCCCCTTCCCCCTGCCAACCAGCGCTGACCACCTTCCTGCCTATGTGCTGGCAGCGGGTGGTAATGAACCGGTCCAGTGAACACTTCTTCCTGGCCCACCTGTCAAATTGTGGTAGTGGACGAGCCCTGGGTATGAAGTCAGGGCATCGGAGTTCTTGGCTACCCAGAAAACTCAGTCCTCCTGGAAGACGTCTCCAGTCAGGGTGTTGGGGAGCTCCTGGGTCGCCCAGGATCTGTGTAGTTGCCCAGTGGTACCCCTCTCTTCTCCCTCAGCCCGCAATGGGCCTGATGACCCACGTGCGGGAGGGGAGAGGCCCTGAGAGCACCTTGTGCAGAGTCTGCCTCACTGGCTCTGGGAGCAATGTTGCCACGGCCCTGATCCCCTTTCCGCTGGAAGGACCCAGCTCTGGGCGGGTCAGGGGATTGGAGCACATGCACCTGCCTCTCATGGCTGAGAGGAGCATGGGGAGAGAGCACTGATACCAGGGGTCCCAGGGGACAGGGAGGACTTAGGGGAGGAGGCAGGCTAAGGGCTGGGCCTGACTTTAACAACCCAGGAAAAAAGCCACATCTGGAGTGGTTCACCCTTTGTGCAGCCCCTTTTATGCTCCTCTTCTGAAGTGGTCTTCAAAGTGTGGTCCTGGGAGCATCCGCAGCAGA